TCTCTTTCACAAGTGGGTGCAAGTTTCTAGGTTCACAGTTGAGTTAACAGAGTTATACAATATTGAACTCAGTATAAGCCCTGTAAGACATAAAATTGAATGAGTTTTTTAACCTTTAAAAAAGATCTCCATTTCATTTTAGAATATATTGTTCCTTGCAGAAAGACTCATTGTTTTTGCTACTAACACTGAGATGTTGGCGCATGCATCTCTAATATGTATCTGATTATTACTAGTCATAATCGGCTGCACTTTTTTATTTATTATTTTAATTTTATATGTATGAGTGTTATTGCCTGCATGTGCGTAACTGCATCCGTGTTGTGAAATGCTCATGGAGGTCTGAAGAAGGCATCAGATCCCCTGGAATTGGGAGTTAGGGATGGTTGTTAGTCACTACGTGGGTGCTGGGAATCGAACCTAGGTCCTCTGCAAGAGCATCCAGTGCTTTTAAATGCTGAGCTATCTCTCCAGTCCCAGAACACTAATTTTTAAAAGCCAATAATGACAATGGTAGTATCAAAGAAGATTTCAAGGCAAAATTTATTTACAGTACCTACAGAAACAGAGGGCTGTTTCATAATGCTAAAAGGATAGGTTCAAACAATCAAACCCAGACACTAAATCACACAATGTAAATATTAACTAAAAGGAAATGAAGACAAACAATTTTATATTTGAGGATAACATCACCACACACAGGAAAATGAGACTGGAACAGCTGCATCGGTATTAATATATACATTAGAGCGTTATACAAAGTGAGAATAGCAGAGTAAAAGTAACCATAAAAAAATACTAAGAACAAAAGTTAAAGTTTAAGTAGAAATGGAGCCTTTCATCGCTTGCTGATAATATTCTACATTCTGAAGGTATTTGTATTTCAACTGTCTGGATATCAGATTTAGAGGGAAAATTAAAGAACAATCAGAACAAGATGAGTTCTATTTTTATACTCTATATGTTTTTCTTACCAGCATTACTGTTAAATTCATAATTCTTCCAAGGCTATCAATGTAGTAGACACTGTCTTGATACCAGGCATCACAGTGTAGATAATTATACATCCCAAATGCATGCATGTGCTCCAATGTATATTGATCATCTCGAAGTTTTACTTCTGCTACAGCTAAAAGATAAAAAATAAGTAAACACAATCATCAAATGCTCCTTAGATCATACACTTGTGCAGAGTGTCCACAGGGCAAAGAATCCTGAAATGGTAATAACAAAGGCCTTCAGGACAATTCACGGTATGATTCACTCAAAAATAAGTTATTTGTACACATGTGCTAAGGATAGAGAGTAAATGAGATGACCACACCCTTACAAAGCTTAAGACTATAGAGCCTACAACAGATAGGGTTTTTATAACAATTCTCTTCTTTCAGGAATCGCTTGTAATTCTGAATTATAAGAGCAGAAATTCAAAAAACAAAGGACTTCCTATCTTATGGGCAAATAAGTCCAGTTTATGCATTTATTTATTTTTTTATTTGCTTGATTTATTTTATGTGTATGAGTGTTTTGCCTGCATCTATGTAAGTACATTGTGCCTGCAGAGGCCAGAATTAGAGTTCCCAACAGTTGTTAAACCACCATGTGGATGCTAGGAATTGAATTTTGTAAGAGCAGAATGCTCTTCAGTCCCCCAGTTTATGTTTTTATGCTTTTTAAAATGTTGGCCCTATTGTATTATTAATCTTTATCATTCATAAAGAAATAAAGAGAATATCTTTATTATACTATCATACAGTTAGAAAAATGAATGCAAACACAAATAGTCACTTCAACATCATATTCCATCTAATAAAACAATATCATAGCTAGGACACACAGGTTTTCTATGTATGAAACATTAGCTGTTTCCTTAATTTTGAATCAGCCAAATGTGGTCTCTCCCTTGCATGCCTGCCCTTCTAGGCAGTTAAGAAATCTCACTGCTCAGGGCTGTTCAGGGCTGCTCATGAGGTAGAATTCATTTCCATTCCAACAGAAACTAGTAAGTAAATTGCTCTGGACCTACATGTTACCTTAATATAAAACTAACTTTAACTGTGTTCTGATTACAATTGTTTTCTTCTTTACCCATTGCTGTAGTTTGCTTTCTGTTGCTATGATGAAACATTCTGACCAAAACTAACTTGGGGGAAGAAATGGTGAATTTCATCTTACACTTTCAGGTCACAATTCATCAATGAGGGCAGTTAGGGCAGGAACTCAAGGCAAGATCTGGAAGCAGAAATCTCAGAGGAATGCTGCTCACTAACTTGTTTCCTCTGACATCTGTCCTGTGCTCAGCCTACTTTCTTATACAACCCAGGACCACTTGCCCAGGGGCAGCACCACCAGTGGGCTGGGCCCTCCTATATCCTGGGAAGTTTCTCAATGGAGACTCACGCTTTTCATTCGTGGTTGTGTCAAGTTGACAATAAAAAATAGCCACCATGACACCCAGAGTACTCACTTTTCTTATTTTCAATATCTGCTTTGAGTCTTGGCTAACATATTTATTCACTCATTTACTCAGCAAGTGATTCCCCAAAAGTACAGTCCACCTTCTATGAGCTTTAAGAAAATGGGCTTTAGTCAAATAATCCATAAACTTTATATAATGAATTATGAAATTCTATCAAAAACTTGGCGATGCCACAGGAATATGAAAGAACTAACCTACTTCAGATTAATAAACTTTCCAAGACTGAGCCAAGATATAGAAGAATTAATTTAAGGAGTACGCCTTTACATAATACTACTCTACTTATTGTAGGAAAAATAAACTTGTGTTCAAAGAAACAAAAGGCCATTAGGATGCTGCAGCAATCATCCAAGTACAGGATGACCTAAGGTGGAAACATTTCAGAGGCAAAAATCCTAATTTTATAAGAAAGTTGATAGAGGTTGAAGAAACTCCTTCAGCCTAAGAAAGTTTATTTTATAAATAATGATTAGAAATATTCTACTGAATAGGAAGGAAATTGTGATCAACTGTTCTGTTGGTTTTCTAGCACCACTGTGTGGATGAAACTCGATAATGCAGGATATATAAAATATTAGCCCAAAGCAATACTATCAGACAATAATAAAATAAATACGTTTTCACAATATGTGTACAAAAAGCCCTGAGTAATCCTAAAACAATCTAGAAGTTTCTTAATCTTTTGACTCACTATAACAATCCACCCAAAATGGTATATAAGGAAAACCACTGTTAGGAAATCATGAAAAAGCAGGGCTTATTGGTTGGAATTCCACAAAATAATTTAAGTAATTAGAATACAGAAGCCAGACTTGGGCATGTAAGATGATCACTACTTTATAAAACTGTCAGTCAGTTCCTTCTAGCTCAAAATGAGTAACAAAAATTTGCAGCTGTATTTATCATGCCAACACGTTGGGTATAAAGGTGAAACACAGCACCTCAAGAGAAAAGCAGTGTTCAGAACTTAAGCACCAGGAACTCTTCATAGAGCCTGTGTTCCCAAGAAACGGTGGAGGGGGACCAGGGTAGTCTAATCTCTACTTGGATCTTTGAAATAGTTGAAGACTATTTTTACAGAAGAAGTCAATAGGTAATATTTTATTATTTAAGTTACCATGAATTAGAAATGAGCATTACTTTAAAAAAAAAAAAAGACTCAATCTTTTAGTAAAAGAACTAAGGACCCAACAGGAAAGGAATTCCCCTAATCTTTGTCAAATAATCTTCATAACACTCCCCCAAACTCCAGTTCCTATGGAAAACTATCAAAGTCTCATGAACTTTAAGAACCTCTAACTTTTCGTTCATGGGTTTAGTGTTGACTGTTTTACCACATACCAAGCACTGTTTGCACTTGGCTCTGGCACACACTAGTGAGAAAAGCAGACTCACTTCTGTAAAGAGGAAGCCAGCGGCAGCAGGACTCACTGTGGGTTCTGGTCTTCTTGAAATACACCATTATTTGAGCCATTATTTGTGCCCACATTTAACAACTGACCAGCGAAATAAAAAGCAAAGAGTGGGGCAAAGAGCATTCTTTACAAAGTTCACTTCATCAACACAAAGAGCTGTCTTCTCTTACATGCAGCTTGCCATGTGTGTATGAAGATATAAAAACAATAGAAGAGTACAAGTTTGTATAATGGGATCTGAAACTAGATTCGTGGAACAGGGCAGAGCCAGTCAGGAGCATTGCTCCCGCGAAGATATTTTCTATACTGCTTCTATGACCACAACACATACAGCTGATCTACTCACTACTGTCCTTCACAAGAGTACGTGTAAGTAAGAATACACTTGTTTTCATCAGTGTAAAGCAAGCTCTACATACATAAAATGATCACATGCTCTTCTCTCCCTTTCCTTCACCTACAGCCTAAGTCTTCACGCTTTTCCTCTCTGTCCTGAGAGCAAGGGAAAATGACCTGCGAGACCACAAAAACAGAAAAAGCACGAGCTTTTGGGTCAGCTTTGCCATTATAGAGTAGCCTGATTAAGTTAGCGATCTATTTCTTATTCCATTACCTCATTTGCAATAAAAGTTCATAATTATCTATCCTACAAAATTCTTTCCTTTTTTACTTTATGTGTATGAGTGTATTGCCTACATGTATATAAGTGCACTTGAGTCATGCAGTGTCTGCAGAAGCCAGAAGAGGGCATTGGATTCCCTAGAACTGGAGTTAGTATGGTTGTTAGCAGGGATTCCGAACTTAGGTCTTCTACGAGAGCAGCTACTGCTCTTAACAACTGAGTCATCTCTCCAGCCCCACCACAAAATTCTTGACAAGCCTAAATAAAAATATGAAAATATTTGTTATATGATACATAAGTATAGATTTTCCTGTTTGTCTTTTCCCTTCCCAAACTAATTTCCATGTAATTATTCATAATTCCATTTCCTTCTAGGTGATACCACCTCCTCTCCACTGGTCTCCTCCTTCATTTAAATATGCTGAAAATGTCCCTACTCACAACACAGAAAATGTTTCTCCTCTTTGTTCAGAGTCCCCTAATGCAATGGTTAATTTTGACTGTCCATGTGATTCCACCGAGAACTCCCTTGAAGATGAGTAAAGCCACTTCTAAGTGTGTCTATCACTGCACTTCCAGAGACAAGCAGACTAACAGTGCTCTGATGTAATGAATGGTTTAATCCACTGAAGGATTCAAACTTTAACTACATTACTGGGAGATGGTAGAAGTGTCCAAGGTGAAGCCTGGTTGAGAAAAGTATGTCACTGGGCATGTCCATGAAGCTATATTTTGCCAGGGCCTCTTCTAATTACTGTTCCACTCTGCTTAGTGAACACCACAAAGTAAGCTGCTCCATTATGCCCTCTCTACCATGATGGACCAAAGCCTTTAAAACTACAGGCAAAATAGCTGTTCCTTGACATTGTAACAGTAATGCATAAGTAACTAACACCCTCGCCCTGCACTTCCCAAATAAATAAATAAACTTAAGGACAGAAATCATCTATGATCATCTAGATAGATTCAGAAAAGACATTTGAGAATGTTAATATCTTCAAGATAAATGTCTTATAGAAATTAGGAATAGATGGAACACATTTCAAAATAATAATATAACAACTTTATATACTAAATGGGGAAAAACTGAGAGCATTTCCTCTAAAACTGAGAGAAGAGTACCCTCTCTCCCCACTTTTAATATGGTGTTTGAATCTTAGCTGGAGCAATAAGACAAGAGAAGGATATAAAAAGGATTTAAATAAGAAAGGAAAAAGTCAATTTACGCCTATTCGCAGACAAAATGATTCTATACTTAGAAGATCCTATAGACTACCAGAAAGCTCTTAGATCAAATAAACACTTTCAGTAAGGTTGCAAGATACAAAAATCAACATTCAAAAAAAAAAAAATCAGTAGCTTTCATATATACTAATAACAAACTTGCTGAGAAACAAATTAGGAAAAAATATCCCAATCACAACTTCTTCAAAAAAATAAAGAACCGAGCCAGGTGTGATGGCTTATGCCTTTAAGCCCAGCACTTGTAAGGCAGGCAGATCTCTGTAGGTTCGAGGCCAGTCTGGCCTACCTAGTGAGTTCCAGGAGAGCAAGGGCTACAGGGAGACCCTGTTTCAATAAATAAATAAATAATAAATAACTACTGGGTGTGG